CAAAGCATTATAATCATTATTACTGTGAAATTCCATCATTAATTCATATTTGGAGTATGGCATGCAGCACTGCACACCCGTGCAAGAATGTAGGAGTGGAAAAGGTGCTGAGAATGAGGAATTCCTTACAAAAAGAAACTGAACAGATTAGGACTGCTGAATTTCAGAAAGAGATCCTGGATTGTGCTAGCAGTTGCAAATTAGACATCATAGCCTGGTGAAAGTGAATGCAGAATGATCATTCTTCATTTGTCACTAAGAAAAATCTGGGAGACATAGTGAAATGGTCAGGCTGCACGGATGACCAGAGCACAGAGAAGCACTTTTTCAATGTAAATGTACAATCTTTTGGAAGGCAAGATTAAAAATATGCTAAAAAATGTATTAATTGTATTAATGGAGAAGTCCAGTAGTGGTTATGAAAAACAATGGCAATATGATGTTTAGCTGAAGGAGGCCCTTAAATTACTGATTAGCTGTAAGAGAAGGTCCCTGGATATCTCAGAATATGTCCTGGTTCTTACACTGTTTCCTAAAGTTTTGCTTCTTCCCCCCCTGCTTTTCTGAATTTGTATTTAAGCTATAGTTTAACAGGATGAAGTGTCCTACAGTACTTAAAATTAGGGTTTGTCAGATCAGTACAGCGTTGTCTGCCATTGTCTTCCTGCACAAGAAGTTACATTTTAAGTAGTTGTGGCTTTCAGTTCAAGTGATGTTTCCTCTTCAGGGACATTGTTGCATAGCACAGTTTCAACAACTGCTGCTGAAATCCTGAGATGTGGATCTTATTTCTAAATTCTGACAGAGGCAGTACTAGAAATTGGCATTGAATTTCTATACCTTGTGTATTCCTACTTTCTGCTGAATTTTTGACTCAGGATCAGAGTAATTGGTGAATCACATGAATTAAAGATAAACTATTTTTCTATTTAAAATGTCATCTATGTCAGCCTGCTGGTAGTATTTTTAATTCCATATGATTTTAGAAAAAAAACCCCAACAAACTCTTTTAGAATAAAACCCATATGCAGTGCAGCTCCTGTGTACAAAAGGGACAAAATACAGGAAAACTGGGGAAGGAGAACAGAAAGAGATGCAGGGTACTGGTGAGTAAAGGAAGGGGTGACCCTGAAAGTACCCTTCTGAAAATCCAGCCTCAATTCCATTTGCCACTCACTGGTCAAAAGGTGGCAGGTTGGAAGAGATTTGGTGTGTAACAGTCATTATGAAGAAAATTTCTCATTTAAGGAACCTTTGATAGCAGATTAATAGGAGTTGTAGAAATTGCAAGCACTTGCATACCTGAAAACTTACTTGTTTATTGTTATTTAAACTTACTGTTTATTGTACAGCTGCATGGAGTGAACAGCGTTGTGTCCACTTCCAAGCCCTGGCATAAAATGATTGAAAAATGTGTAGGAAAGAAAGAAAAGGGGAAATTAAAGGGGAAGCAAAATATTTGGTTGTGATTAGCTAGAAGTAAATAAAAATCTTAGTAATGCACTTATAGTTGGAATGAGTCTAGGTCACCTAGAGAAGGAATCACTTGTGAACTATGGGAAAGTAGATTAAATGGGTTGGTTGATCTCTATCAATGGGATATGTGATTCTCTTAAAGAATTTACTCTCATTACTTAATTTGGCAAGAAAAGTTCAGTTTGCATTTCACTTATTCCCCAGTGCAGGCTCAGACTCTTCCTTTCAGAAAGTGTGCTTTTAATGGTGAGTTGTAAAAACAAGAGGAGGGACCTAATGTCAGGGATCTCTGAGTATGTGGTGTGTCTGAGAGGTTCTGAAATACTTCAGCTGAATCCTGTAATTTCAGCTGTAATTTCTTGGCTATATCACAGAGCTGTGGCAGAATTTTTTCTTGGCTACTAAGTTACCTGGAAATCACAGGATCAAAGGAGGGGAACTGGCCTGTGAGTGCTGTAATTCAGCTCCTCTGCCCTGGGGAAGGGTCAGTAACACCTCGTTTTCCTGGTTGGGCTTTAGGATTGGTTTCAGTGCTGCTGGGATCTCCTCAGGCAATTTGTTCCTGGGCTTTGTTTGCCTTCTGTCTAAGTAGTTTTCCTCCTTTAATTGGGATCACCTTTGATTAAATTTAAATCTGAATGGTTATTCATGTGTTGGCTATAAACAAGAGCAGTTTGCTGCAAAGAGAAAAGTAACAGATCTTTGTATTTATTTATGTCAACTGTTTGGAAGTGTCTTTATTATCCAATCTGTTTCTCCTTCCCTAAACTAAGCAGCTTCAGTTTATTCAGTCTTTCATAGTAGAACTCACTGAGTAGATTATGCCATCAATCACATCTCTCCTCTGATGATCCATCTGTAGCCCTTATCTTACTCAAAGTAAAATATCAGTAAGAAAAGTAATAAAAGTTCATAATCTGATTTACAACTGAAAATTCCCATCTCAAAATATTATTTTAGACCTAGGTAGAATTGATGAATTTGTCTATCAGTATGACATTATAATGTTACTTTAAAAAAATTTTTTATAATGTTATTTTTTAAGTTTTATGTTCTTCCTTAACTAGCTGGATTAGACCTTCTTGTGCTGTGTCTGCAACTCTTTCACTATGAAGATTAGGGGGTGTGAAATTACTTTACATTGCCTTCAGTCATATGAAGCATCATTTTATCTGAACCAATTCTTGCTGCAATGAATTTTGGCAGCTGGAAGGTTCTGTCTGTAGCAGGTTGACACTCTTCACTATTCAGTTTCTATTTTTGCAAATGGTACATTTCTTATGTTAGTGAGAACTTGAATTGCTTGCAGGTTATAGTTTTTAGTTGTTGTCTGCATGAGTGTCTTTGGCATTAAAAAAACCAGGTGTACTGAACCATTGTAAAAATGATTAAGCCGTCCAAACACATCGGATAACAAAGGACTATTAGTTTTACAGTAAGAAAACTTTACTGCAGACTGAGTTTAGACCAGAAGAGTGTCTCTGTGTGTAGTCATTACCATTTAATATCTGAGGTAGAGCACATTAATGCATAGTGTAAGTATGGGCAGTGAATATTCACTGGAAAAATCACAAACTGAAGAATAGCTTGTTTAGCTGGTCAAAGTGTGAACCAGCGGTTCTGTTATTGGATATGGAAGCAAATGTAGCAGCCAGAAGGACCTTGCTGCATGTTGTAAGTTTGACATTATGTGGTATTAGGTTGTACAGGCTCTTTGATTTTAAAGGCTCATGCCAAATGGAGTATGCACAGGAAAAAAGACATTAAATACACAGACATCTGCTCCTGTTTTCAAATGACATGGGAGAAATGGGTAACATATCACACTAATGCAGATGCTTTTTATTAATCACAAGTTATAATTAAATGCAGTTTTTTCTGTGGTTGGTGATGAAAGTGTGAGAGCAACCCCAGAGGAGGGAAATGTTTCAGATGATGCAGACCACAAGTGGCTATTACCCAGCAGCAGCAGCACAAACCCTGTGCTGGCTTGCTTGCTGCATTGTAATGCTGTGTTCAAGGCATGTCTGCAAAGCAGCCTGGCCTGTCTGCAGGCAGCTGATGAGGAGGGTGTGCTCCCTGACACTCTGGGGCAAGCTCAGTCACCACAGCCTGGGGCCTGTGATGAGAGACCCAGTGTGCAGATGGTGACCCTGTGCTGCTACACAGTCATGTTTGAGGCAAAATTATTAATGGAAGTTACAGGTTTAGGTTCTCATGCTGTGAAGGGGAGAAGTGGCACAGACAAGGCTGGCTTTCCAAAGCTCACTTGGAGGTAGCTGCACTAGAATAGGCCTGGAGAGCTATGGCACACATGTTTGTGGACAGTGCCTTTTCTTGTCTCCCAGCTGAAGTGATGCATGTGTGTGCTTGTTGGTACAAAACTTGTTTAGAGTATTAATAAACTACTTAAAGGATGCTCATTTAAAAGAATGTTCTACATATTAATAACTGTGAGAATTAGGTATTGGGAACCTGCTTAAAAACTTGTGATTCAACTAGTTGTTCAAGAGAAGCAAGAGAAAAACTGCAAGTCTGAGTACTTTGTTTATTGCAAAACACTGAGAAATCCTGACTCTATCTAGCTCCAAGGTGGCTAAACCTTGGAGATGGGGGTGGGTGATTGTAACTTCCTGGTTGTGCTGCTACCTGTCCAATCACAAGGTCAGGATGTTTAAAATATTTGGCTTGAAGAGTTAACTCTCTTTGTGGAGAGACCCTGCCCTTGCTAATCCTTCCTAGCTTCCTTCATGAGAAGGAATCTCTGCCTTTGGGGTTCTTTCTTTCACTTGCTTTGTGCTGCTGAATGGTGAGTATGGACTAAGTGGCACTGAACTCCAGACCAGCTATTTATCCCATCTCTTATTGAGGTTTCTGTGAATGTAGGATTGAGTGGGTCATCCTGAAGTGGTCATATGGGGACTGGGGTAAGAGTGGTAATATAAGAGTTAACTCCAGCAGCATTTTGGGTTGGTTGGAAATCAACCTGTCCTCTTACATCACTGCCTTTGTAAAAAGTTCCACATTAGATGGGAGTTCCTGAAATATTACTGCAACCAGCAGCACTCTGCATTGTTGAAGCGTCAGAGTGCAGCAGAGCAGTGAGTGTCTGTTAACCCAATTTCATTACCAAAAGTGACCTTATTTCCTGCTTTTGGTAATATTATAACACATTTCCAAGCTTTGCATCATGCAATTTTTCCATTGCTGAGAACAAAGAAAATCTATTTCTATCCAGATAGTCCAAAAGAAAAACCAAAAAATAACCCAACCCAAAAAAACCAACCAAACAAAAAAACCCACCACAAAACCCGGAACAACCAACCCCAAACTTTTTGTCCCAATGGTTGATGGCTGTAGGAGACCTCCTCCTATACTGGCAGGCAGGGAATAGCACAAGTTACTTCCGATGCCATTCCATTTCTCTTGAGAGTGGGGAGTGAAGGGCTGAACACCGAGGTGTTGGTGCTCCCCTCTTCCTCCGGTGTGCATTCCGGTTCCTAAGGCTGTCCTTGTGTCCGCAGGTGCCGCAGAGGATAGAGGAGCACGGCGATGGCCCCGAGGACAGCGGTGGAGTGCCGGGCCTGTGGGGCAGCTGGGGCCCCTGGTCCGCCTGCTCGCGGAGCTGCAGCGGCGGCGTCATGGAGCAGACGCGGCCCTGCCTGCCCGCCTATTACCGGGAGCGCGGCTACCGCCGCCCGGGCCGCCACTTCCCGGGCCCCGAGCGCGCCCTGCCGCACCCGGGCGCCCACCGCGAGGACTCGCTGTCCGCCTACCCCGGGCACGTCATCTCTGCCATCCGCACCTCCGTGCCGCTGCACCGCAGCGAGGAGCAGCCCTGGGCGCCGCCGCGGAACAGCAGCAGCGGCCAGGGCGGGCGGGCGGCGCTGAGGGGCAGCCGGCACTCGCAGGGCCCGCGGCACAGCGCCAGGCCCGACAGCAGGTACGGGCTGGGCACGGCTGTGCCAGGCTATGCCAGGGCACCTGGGGCTTCTCACACCTGCAGGGACCTTAGTAGAGACCAAGAATGGCTTTTACAATGGCTACTGCCTTCAAGGCCCTCCCGCGACTACTTACATGATGTCCAAGGGCAGATGTCATTATTCAGGTTATCTCACTTCCCTTTAAGATTTGTGTTGTGATTTATTGAGAGGTTTTTCCTTTTCTGCTGCACTCTCATTTGACATTTCCATTAAATATCAGAACAAACAACTGTACTATAATTGTATTCTTTCCTATTCTTCCTCCTATAATTGTATTCTTTCTTATAATTTGTAACTTCAGCAGCCAGTCTGGTATTAATTCGTTGGAAAAAAAATTAGCTTTTTTCATAAAGGATGGTCAACCATCTGTTGACTTTAGTTCTACTCAAGACTCTAGTTTTGTTTTATATTTCTATTTGTTGCCTTTTCGTTTTCTTTTTTTTCTTCCTACCACCTCTTTTAGCAAAATTTCCTGTTTGTTTAATACATAGAGTATTTTAAACACTGTATATGTTTTTATTAATTTCACAGTAATAGTCTTTAAGGCTGGGTGAAGCTGTGCTGTTACAAGTAATTCCAATTAATTTTCCGACTTCTGGAGAAACACTTCTTTATCCACTTAGATATCAGTCTATCAGATTTCTTTTATATATGTGTGAGAGGAAAATAGATGTGTTTCCAGTCTGGAGACTGAGCAGAACAGGCATGGAGATCCCCTGGGATGGAGCACTCTTTAAATGTCTGTTCTCTCTGTCTTTCCTCTGAATATGTATTCCAGCAGCTCTCCATGTATTCCAGCACCTCTCTGGTTCTTTCCCTCTCAGCTCTCTTCTGGGAGATATGTGAAGAGAAGCTTTTTGGGGTAGCTGACAAGAACACCCAAACCAAATAAATCAGAGAACACCCCAGTTTCTCCCTGCAGACATAACCAAAGAAACCTTCCTTCATATCATCTGCATCTTTAAGATTCCTAGTGAAGCAGTCAATTGTAATTCCCTTTTTAAAGATACTTTGCTGTCCTTAGCAGCACAAGAAAGAATATTACCTTGAGGCAGTATTCCAGCCTGGCTGGAATAAGACAGTAGGTCTCTGTTGCTGCTGATCAAGACATTCTCAACCCCTGCAAGAAACTCTGTCCATAGAAAAGAATACTTGAAAACAGAATTAACCTGTAAAGCTCCTGCCTATCACAGTGAAGCAAGAGTTTCAGAAATTGGGACCAGCTGTTCAGATGTTGGTCTTCTCTGGTGTTGCCAGTTTCCTATGTCCCTGCTTTGTCTTTCTGTCAAACCCATCCCAATGACAGCCCAGACCTGCTGAATACAAAGTCAGTGTAGCACTGATGGTCTCACAGAGTTCAGGGAGTGCCAGAGACAGGATTAGTAGTGTTAACATGAGTGCATTGAGGCAAAAGTCATACTTCCTTTTTTCTGTTTTCCTACTTAATAATTGGCTATAATGCACTTCTGTTCTGGGCTGTGCAGTGTGACAGCCCCGGGTTGTGGTGCATGGCTGGGTTATTGCTGGCATGGGAGCCTGGCCCTGAACTGTCAGCACAAAGCCATCCAAAGGCTCTGTGCTCTGGCTCTTGGCACCCCTGTGTCCCAGGGAATCCCAGCTGGCTCTGCACAGCCCCACTGCCTCTGCTGGCCTTCCATCCCCACGGGCTGTCCCCGCTGCCCTGGTGGCCTCTGCAGGCCAGCACAGGCTGGGAGGGTTTGGAGCAGTCACTGCAGGATTGGCTGGAACATGATCCTGACTGTGCAGAGCTGAAGCTGTGTTACTGCCTAAGAAAGGCCTTGCCATATGAAATATTAAAATGCTCACTTTCCTGTATGATGGAGGTGCTTGCTTTTGAAAATTCTTGTCCTTTCCTAAGCACAGTGCAAGCTTCTGTACCACAGTTGATTTTCCACCCCCTCACACTCTGCCCCTTGGCAAAAGACTGGATTCAAGGTCAGTGTTTTAATCTTACTTGCATAATAAGTTATTTCCATCTTGTTTTAGGAGGTCCCTGGTGGCTTTAAAGCCTGTTGTATTGCATAACTTTCAGATTCCTTGGTGATGACTGTAAAAACAGAATGAGAACAAAAAATGTTATTTGAAAATGGAATCATATGAATGACAAACCTAATAGTTTTCCTTGATTTAAAAAATCCAGAGTAAAAGCTTTCTTTACAAAGGAGATTACTGTTCCTATCAGGTATATGGAAAATGGATTTCAAAATGTGAGTGACTCTACACATGATTTTTATACTGTAGAACTGTTTAGTGTTCACTAAAAGGCTGATATTGGAAATTCATGTCAGGCTGTTAAATAACACTTGTGTTTTCACAATTTGTACTGTCAGTGGAAACTTTTTGGGGTATTTCTATTTACTGTAGTGGACCTTGTATAAAAGCTGTAATTTTAGCAGACTTCCATAAAACAATAAGAGAGGAATGGACATCTGTGACTGAGATAAGCTCACATTGATAACATGGTAGAATGAAATTGGAGGGCTTCCAAGGCAAAGATTTTCAACAGCAATAGCAGCCCTATACAGCAGCCCAGTGTGTTTGTATCATTTACCAGCAAGAGGAAGTGTTCTCTGCCTGCTTCCAAGCAGCTGACAAAGAACTGATTAGGGATTTTGTAGCAAAATCCAAAATAGAACTTGTCTGTCATAAAATTTTCTATACCTTGTCTTTGAAGAGGGTATTCACATTTTCAGGTTTTGAAACTTGCTTTAGTTAGGCATTAGAAACCAGGACTGCATGGGAGGTTCAAGGGGAGTGAGGTTTGAGGTACTTGCAATTAGAAGCCTGGTTTAAAAAATTTCAGTGCTCCCCTGTTTAACTCTGTGCAGTAAGAAGTGTTCTAGCATGATTGAAATGTGTTAATTACCATCACTGGTTGTCCGCTGGCAGAGGCAGGGAGCCCTCCCCATCTTTGAAGAGCTGAGTTCCCTGTATCACACACTTGGTTTGTTATTTTTCACCTAGCTAAAGTGCATGAAGCACACACACGCTAAGGACAAACAGGAAAGAGGAGATAGTGCAAAAATATTAAAGCATTTAGACAACTTTATTGAGAGAAGAGTAATAAGGACATGCAGAAAGATAAGATGCTTTAAGAGAGAAAACACATCTTGAAAGGAAGTATTAATGGACTAGGTTTTAGTACTTCTTAAATGTTGCATTTGCAATTCTCTATTTTGGTGATGGAGAGGACAGAACCACAATTCCTCACCAATGTGTTGAGTGTAGGATGTTTCCAGCTGCCACCTTCACTTTTGCTTCACTTAGGCTTTGGTGGCAGAGCAGCAAACCTCAGTGTCCTCTTGTGTGAGCATGAGATGTACTTTGTATCTGGGGTCATAGGAACAGAAAGAAAAAAAACTAGAATTATCACCAGAATAATGAAATAATTCAAGCATTCTTGCATAAATAGTGCAAGTTAAAGAAGCATGTTAATAAGGAAAGGGCCTCCCTGAAGCATTTCTTGTGTCTTTGGAAGAAGAGTGAGAGGAAAAATTTGCACTGAGGAAATAATCCAAAAATCATTGACTTCTCACATGGCTCTAGCTCTGGGCCTTTATTCTGCTGCCAGCAGCTGACGTGCAAGTCTGCTGTGCTGCTCTGTACCCTGTGTAGGGTCAGTCTGCATTTCTGGGCCTTTCAGCAATGGAAAGGAAGAGTGCATCATTTCATGTCAAACCAGAATTTCCTTTCTGAAAGTATTTCTTTTGTCCCCTCTCACAGATGCTCTGACCAGGCAAATGTAGGTCACTCTGCTGGCAGGTCTACAGTTAACTTTTCAAAGGACAATTCTGTTGTTATTTCCTTAACCAGTAGCCACAGTGTTGTGATGCAATTTCTGTGACCTGTTCTAGTCAGTTCTGGTTCCTAGAGGTGGAAAAATGTGTGATTGCTGGACCTTCAGGTTCAAGAAGGTATTATTTTCTCAGGTACAGAAAGAACATAGAGAGAGAAGAACTGGATCCCTTTGTAAGGATAAATTTTCCAGAAAGATCTAAGAGCAGGAGTGGTAATCAAAGAATTCATGGTGGTAGCACTTGGGGGATTTAAAGCCATGTGAGGAAGGTGTTTATTTTCCTTCCAAATAAAATTCTGGCAATAATGCTCAAATGAGGGGTTTCTTCACAAAATGAGTAGCTAGTTGGGGTAGCTCAGGTTGACTTTTTGCTGTCACACCTCTCATCTGGGTATTAATCTACATGACATGCTCTAGGTCTCATTATTACCAAATCAATATCAGTTCTCATTATGCTACTACAAGCATGCTTTGAGTGGGATTGCCAGAAATAACCCCCTAACACAGTACAATAACTGCAAACCACCCAAGCTAGCTTATTCTTAATACTGAACATTTCACCCCTTTCTGAGCTGGGCTCACTGAAGGAGGTGGAGTGAGAGCCCTGCTGCTCTTTAGTCAGGTACCACTGAATTAGTGCCCCATCAGTGAGGGCTACAAACAGCCAAACCTCCCATAAAGGAGGGAAGGCATCTCAGCAGAGTTATGAGGGTACTTGCTTTGAATTTCTGCTGGTTTACCTGCCAACTGCATGGTTGCATTATTCAATCAAATCTTAAAGAAGAGGCTACGAATTGCCTGGGATCAGAGGTATTATTGAAAAAGAGGATTGAAGTATTTGGGTTTGATTTTGAAATCCTATCTCAGTGTTGAAAGTCACATAAATGAGGTTATACAGCACTTGCTGAGAGATCAGTAAAAGCAAATATACTGAGTTATTGTACTGGGTATATTGCAGCTATGCTGAACTGGGCTATCAGTGCTGATCTCTGAGGATGGAAGGTTTAATTTGATAGTCCACATACCATTAATTAAACCTGTTCCCAAGAGACAGTTTATTTAGTGACTTATTGATTAATTTTACTGTCTCAGAAAAATGTAAGTATCTTTTCCCCCTAATATGATATAGAAATGAGAGCTTTTGTGGTGTAATGTGGTATAATCCATTTTTCTTCAGAAGAAACACTTTTTAGGCATTGCTGGTTACTCTGTGAATTCTAGCAGTTGAATTTTTTAAGACAAATATGCTCACAATGATTTTACTACTCTTATGTATGTGTGATACATGGGAAACAGTGCCTATCCACAAATCATGATGTGGTTACCAAAGTTACCATGAATGTAAAAAGGGCAGTTAGTTCCCTTGCTTTAGTTCATGGAAATGCCAGTAGTGAGATGCAGCAACAGCCTGGCCTGTTGAGCTGCCCTGCAGTGTGATGGTGAAGGGAACAACGTGCTGAGTGTGGCACAGGTTGGTGTCTGAAGGGAGCAATGAGCTGGAGAGTGGCACAGGGAAGGGAGCAATGTGCTGGAGTGTGGCACAGGGAAGGGAGCAATGAGCTGGAGAGTGGCACAGGGAAGGGAGCAATGTGTTGGAGAGTGGCACAGGTTGGTGTCTGAAGGGAGCAATGTGCTGAGTGTGGCACAGGGAAGGGAGCAATGTGCTGGAGAGTGGCACAGGTTGGTGTCTGAAGGAGCAATGTGCTGGAGAGTGGCACAGGGAAGGGAACAATGTGCTGGAGAGTGGCACAGGTTGGTGTCTGAAGGAACAATGTGCTGGAGAGTGGCACAGGGAAGGGAGCAATGAGCTGGAGAGTGGCACAGGGAAGGGAAGGGAGCAATGTGCTGGAGAGTGGCACAGGGAAGGGAGCAATGAGCTGGAGTGTGGCACAGGGAAGGGAGCAATGAGCTGGAGTGTGGCACAGGGAAGGGAACAATGTGCTGGAGTGTGGCACAGGTTGGTGTCTGAAGGGAACAATGTGCTGGAGAGTGGCTCAGCTCGGTGCCTTTGGCCCTGCTTTGCAGTGTGTGATGCACTCTCAGAGGGCTGTCTGAGCTCTTGTGATCAAACATTTCACAGAGGTGTCCCTCACTGCTGTAAGGCCAGTTTCTAGATCAGTGAGCAGACAGGCATGCATTTTGTAACATGAAACAGTCAAAGGGCTCCCTTCTCTCATTCATTCATGTTTAAGTGATTTTCTCCAGATTGATTTGGAGCTGGTGCAAAGTGAGTACGTGGAATGCAGAGCAGCACAGGCTGTGGTGCAGTGGGAGTGGCAGTACAGGGTGGCTTTTGATGGGAATGAGCCTGACTGCTGGGAGCTCTCCTTCTTGAGTAGGTGGAAACCTGTTCCCAGATCCAGTAGATCAGTCATTTTTGTTAAAAATGATTCCTGTCAAAGAATCTGCTAAAACACTGTGAGGTATAAACTCACTAACAGTTATGAACAGTATAAGACAGTTTATTTTGTGACTTAAGGGGGAAAAAATTTACGGTGGAATCTTTTGAAAGTACACCTTGTTAACTGTGTGCCTAATAATATATAAAGCATGAAAGAAAATGAAAAGCCGTAGGAGGGCAGGAAAGTAAATGATTGACTTGGACAATTGTAGGCCAGTCACAGTTTTGAATTATGGAGGAAATGCCATGGATTAAATGTGCATGTCTGAAATTATTTTAAGAACATTATCTAGTAATAAAAAAAGTAATAAAAAATAGTACATTAAAAATATATGCCCATAGTGATCCTGTTAACAGAAACTTAAAGAATTAGGACCAGTTTTTTTCCAATTTGACATTTTGTGTCTCCAAGGACTTTTCCATCTCCCCCCATTTTTTTTTCTTCATTACATTTAAAATAATTGAGTAATATTTCAATAGCTTCATTGCTGACAGGAATAGCTAATAAGTCACTTTCAGTTCTTCAGAAAAAGAATCAAGGCAATTCTGTACTAAATACTCAAACTGTGAGTAGATAGGTAGTGTCCTTTAAAACCTGTCAATTAATTACAGTAATGTAGTGCTGCAAAATAGATAATTTGCTGTGATCTCAAGTGTTAGGCAAAATATTGGCACACTTCTCCACAGAAATAGATTTAATTAAATTAATGTATGTAATTGATTCAGCTACAGAAAATTTTGCCTAAAAAGCAGTTCTGTTAAAACTATGATGAGTAGAAGGGCTTAAATTTAAGCCCAGGAGCTTTGATAGGGATCTAGGGGGACTCAGCTCCTTTAGAAGTAATTTTCTAGCCAAAATCAAAGAACTGCAGTTTTGGAGTATTTTTTGAAATGGAAATAAATAACAGCAACACCAAAGCACAAATCAGTATAGTTTAAAAGACTTTTGCAGTGATAAATAATGTGGGCTATTTTTGGGAAATCAAGTACAAATAACATTTGTAACCTGTCTTCTCTCTTTTCTTCCACTTTCATCGTGCACATGGAACCTCTGTTTCTGCTGATAGATCAGTGTTAAGTTCAGCTGGAGTAGGTGCTAGCTCTGGGCTCTTGCTGTGCTGATAGGGCACAAGCACAGCCAGCAACCCTTCAGAGAATGGATTATGGGCAGCTGCTGAATTCCTGAGTGAGGAGAACCTGCAAGAACCTGGAAAATGCTGAGCCCTGGGCATCCTGAAATGCAGCAGGACCAGGCTCACTGAACAGGGGTTTCCTTAGCATGTTAGAGGACTTTAATGTTCATTCCAGGACAGGACTCCTGGTAAAGGAAGCCTTTGAAGGTTTTGAAAAAAGCTTCAAACTTGACCAAACTCTACACAAAATGAAAAGAAAGGTCTAGGTGTTGTTTTTACTCTATCTGAGAATCTGTGGTGAGATTCTGTTGTCTTTCATTAGTGTGATTGTTGTGACTGGGAATATAGGGATGAAAACCATCTCCCTCTGCTTGTGGAATTATTTCTGCCAATAGACAAGAGAAAATCTAGGGGGAAAAAAAAATCTGTAATTCGTATGCAGTTTTTTTTCTCCTTATCCCTGGTGAAACTGGTGGCTGAAGGTTGTTACCATTCCAAAACATTTCACTGCTTCTGAAGAAATCATGTAAGGTTGTGAATTGAAAATGGGAGCAATCAGAAGCTTCTTTGGGTTAATTCTAAGGAAACTTTCCAGCAGTTGTACAACAAGTCTCCCTTGTTGTCATAAATGAGTGGTTTTGCTAATGTTCACCCTTGCAGTTTTTCATTTACAAGAGAAGTACTTTGATACTAGGAGATAAGATAAATGAAATGCTGAAAAGCTCATGGAAGTACATTCTTTATTCTGCCTGACATCAGAAGAGAAAGAAAACGAGTTGTGCTTCAGCTGGAAGTAAGCCAGGGAACCTTCATTTAGAGGCAGTGGGAGAAATGTAAGGAGAGAGGAAGTGATGGAAAAAGGGAAAAAATGAAAAAGGTATGTTGGAGAAAGGCTGTGTAAAGAGCACTTCAGAGAAGAGGTGGAGGCCCAGGAAATTTGCAATCTTACCTGTGTATTTTAAAGACACTGGATATCCTTAGTTCAAAGAGGGTTTCTATTCAGTATAAATAACCAGCCCACCAGCTCTGAAAGTGCTTCAGTCTTGAAGACCACTTGAGGTTCAAAGCGCTGTTCTTAGCATGAAATCTGTGAGGCAGTGATAATGCACTGATTTGCCAAGGCACACGTTTGCTTATAGCTAAAATTAGAAAAAGCTACAACAACCAAATTCCTTTTTGACACTGCAAATGTGCTAAGAAGGTCCAGTTTCTATTATTCACTGACATATTCTCAGCATGAGAGAAATTGTTAGAAGTTACAACAGTAAAAATGCTACATCATCATCATCATCATGTTTGCTACAACTCTTACATTAACAGCATAAAACCTGATTTTCTTACTTGTCTGGGCAAATACATTTTTTGAAATAAAGAATATATTTAGATTGGCTTAAGTTTAAAGGGGCCCATCATTTTTGTTATCAAAGTGCTAAAGAGATTTGTCTGAGCAATCAAAGAGTATATGTATGTGTATATGAGAATTATGCCCAAAGAAAGGAGATTGTCAGGTCTGCATTAAACAGCTGTTAGGCCTCTGCTGGAGATGAACACAGTAGATCAGAGATGTCTGCTGGCTGTGGGCTGACATGAATTACGTAATGCTTTTCTACAAATATTTTTCTGTTAGGCATTAATTTACCTTTAGATGGTAATTCCATTCTTGGTGGCATTTTCCCCCCTTTTTGTCCTACTTGACTGCAAATATTGTTGAGTACTTGCTTTCCTCTTAGCCTGTCTTCTCTTCTTCTAGCCTAGGGAGCAACAGAAAAAATAATTCTGTGTAATCTCACTCTTGTTTAGGTCTGGCTAAGTAGGACAAGAGGGGTTCTCTTTCTTTCCTCTCCTGTATAGTTATGGGAATCTTTTCTTTCCCTCCCTTAATACCAAAACCCATTCTACTGCTCTCTCTGCTGTAACTACCAAAAGCTTCCCTCAACAATGACTGTCATGCTCACAGAGCAGATTAACAGGGATAAACAGTTCAAGAGTGCTGGTTGCTTATCTGCCAGGGCAAATCAGCACTCTGGTTCACACATCTTGAGCCAGGAAGATTGAGTAAAAGCCCCACGTGGCCATAAGGCTGGAATGGGAGGTAAATGACTTTCAGGGTTCCCAGCTAGCAAGAGTCCTGGGAGAATATAAGACTTGGGAAGAAAACAAACCCAAATGAAAACAAACCCAGAGAAAGGTCCCTTTGATCTGGGGGCTGTCTGACATCTGTAGCACTTCTGTTTCTAGAAAATAAGTATGTCAATTTATAATCTCTGGTTTTCACTGGAGTTCAAGTCTGTTTTGCATATATATTAAAACATAAATGTATTTTCTGTACAGAAAGAAAATTATTTTTCTTTAACGGTGTCTCCCTTCCTGAGCTGCAGATGTCACCCAGAATAACTGCATTCACTCATGGCTCTGAACTGGAAGAAATGGTTTTTTGCCAACTTACTTGTCAGACTGCAGTGATGGGATCAAGGCCTTTTGAGATTGCTGATACATCAAGCTAGACTACATCTTGTTCATATTTATTATAAGTCCTGTAAATACCGAAGTGCTCCTTTGCTTATGGAGTCAATAACTGTTTTCTCTCTCTCTCTCTGTTTTTAGAAGCAGAAACAGAAATCCCATTGGTCCAGGGAAGTATGGCTATGGGAAGGTGCCGTACATTTTACCTTTACAAACGGACACTGGCCAGCAGCCCCAGAAGCTGCGGCGGCAGCGCCAATCGTCCAGGAGCCACCTGTTCCAGCAGAGCCCGAGCCTCCTGAGCCCCTACAGCCAGGCTGCTGCTCCTTCCTTGCAGCATGGCAACCTCTACCAAGAGCCAGGGGGGCCTCAGGCAGGACACCCGGTCCTGGGGCCCTCGGTTTATCAGTCCCCTTCATTCCCTGTGTCTCAGAGCCTGTTCCATGGCGGTGACTCCAGCCCTCAGGCCCTGCAGGGCCAGCCCCAGCCCCAGAGGGCTGCAGCCATCGTGTGCATTGGTGCCTACAAGCAATACAAACTCTGCAACACAAATGTAAGTCTGCTTTTCCTGTGTTTCGTGTGTTTGACTGCTGTTGGTTATCCCTAGTATGCAAAATGTTCACCTAATCATCAAGTTAAGTTGAATTTTTTAAAAATTAATTTAATTATTATTTTTGTGAAGTTATTTTAGAGTGTCTTGGGGAATACTGAAAATAGATCTGTAATATTACAGTTACCTAATACTGTACCTTCAAGGGCTTTAATCAGTCACTTCATCTACCAATATGTACAGTTCTAATTTGATGAAACCCAGGAGCATGAAGGAATTTGAGATAAGTATAGTAATTGAGAGAGGGACAAACATTGGCTGAACAATGTCAGAGAATGCAATAATGGTGGAAAATTTTAGTTGTACTTGTGCTGAAGGGACAAGGGAATGAATTTAGTGTAATTTTCCACTTTCATTCCGTGTTCTGATATTATTTTGATTTTTGTGTGATGAATGTGGATTTTAATGGTAATTTTTAAATATGTGATTCACAGTGGTGAGGAGTGGAGCATGTTGGGTTTGCATGGCCAGGTTTTGGTAGAGGGGAGGGGTGTGGGGACTGCAGGTGTGGCTTCCATGAGAAGCTGCCAGAAGCTTCCCCCATGTCCGACAGGGAAGCCAATGCCAGCCAGCTCCAGGATGGAGCCAGTGCTGGCCAAGGCCAAGCCCATCAGGGATTGCAGTACCATCCCTGTGATACTGTATGCTGAAGGGAGAAAGCTGTTGTGCAGCTGTGAGGTAGCCAGAGGAGAGCAGAGTGAGAATGTGTGAGAGGAACAGCCCTGCAGAGGCCAAGGTCAGTGGACAGGGAGGGGCAGGAGGTGCTCCAGGCCCTGGAGCTGAGATTCCCCTGGAGCCTGTGGGGCAGCCCACAGTGCAGCTGCCCTGGCCCTGCAGCCCATGGAGGGCACTGGAGCAGGGGGTGCCCTGAGGAGGCTGTCACTCCATGGAATGGCTGTGCTGGAGCAGGTCCTGCCAGGAACCTGCAGCTCCATGGACAGAGAGGGGCCCACACTGGAGCAGGTTTGGTGGCAGGACTTGTGACCCTGTGGGGACCCACAGAGGAGCAGTTAATGAAGAGCTGTAGCCCATGGGAAGTGCTCACATTGGAGGAGTTTCTGGAGAACTGTGTCTCATGGGAGGGACCCGTGCTGCAGCAGGGGAAGGACTCTTATCCTTGAGCAGCAGCAGAATCAACCTGTGCTGGGCTGGCCGCAGCCCCCGTGCCGGGCTGGCCATAACCCCCGTTTTGTCTCCCTACACCACTGAGGGAAAGAGGTAGAGCTGGGAAGAAGGGAGGGTTAGGGGGAAGGTGTTTTTAAGATTTGTTTTACTTCATGCTCTGATTTTGATTGGTAATAAATTTACTCAATTTCCCCAAGTCAGGTTTGTTCTGCCCATGACAGTAATGGGTGTGTAATCTCTCCTGATCCTTATCTCAACCCGTTAACCCTTTGTTATATTTTCCATTCCCTGTTCAGTTGTGCTGGGGAGTGATAGAGTGACTTTAGTGGGTACCTGTCACCCAGCCTGGGTGAAACCACCGCAGTCACTGACAAGCCTAATGTTTTTCCATGAAAGAAACTGAAGAATGGAGTTTGGATAGGCCATGTTAGGAAGGCTGTCTACTTCTCAGTCCCATAAGATGAGGTTATCCCTTTGTGAGGGCTAGTCATGTTCTAAACAGCATTTAGAGACAGCTCCCAGTAGCCTGGGCCACTCCAGTGCCTTTCTGTATTGCTCTGTGCATTCTGTTTCAGCTGATACTTTTACCAGCATTCACTTCTACGTGCTTTGATTATAACTTCTTAATTTATTGGAGCGAAAATCTGTTCTGTGTTAATTTTTAAATAAAACTTAATCTGTTATTATTTGGTTCAGAATGTTTTTCTGGGTGTAGCTGCATGCTCCAGGCAGTCTCCCATTGTATGTGGGAGGCAAGTGAGGTTTTGTTCTTTGTCCCCCTTAGTGGTTTTCATCCTGCTAAAATTTCCAGTTTCTGCCTGTGCCCTTTTAGTATTTCCCAAAGTATGTCTTCCTAGTATGTTCTTCTTATTTATCCTGCTAGTCTAACTTAGTGTTGCAAAGATGTAGAAGTCTGTATTTGGATATTAAAAGCAGAATATTCAGGAGAGATCTGGATAAGTTGACGTGACAGGCCATATTTTTTTGGATGGATGAACATCTGATTCTTTTGCCTCCTAGAAATCCTGATTTGTTTAGTGAAACCTGCGTAGTGGAATATGTAACAATGGAACACAGGATAACAAAACCACAACCTAAACAAATCAGATGAGTTCCTTTTTGCTTCTTTGTTATGACTCTTGCTTTGTTTATGAATAAAGTCCATTGATTGAGACTGGAGCAGTTGATTGAAAAGACCTAATGTCAAGAAAGCTTTAGTGTATTTGTCTGGAATGGAAACCATGAACGGCTAATTTGAGCCTCTGAGAATAGTCTCTGGGACAAATTCCTCTTTCGAAAAACACTTTCTGTTTTTTGAAGGAAATGGGAAATGACCTTAGTGCATGGGCATTAATTTGGAAAGTTTTCTGAGCTAAATTTGCTCACTGTGTCCAAGCGATACACAAATGTCCCAGTCTTTATTTCATCCCTCACACATCAGTGCACAAAGTTGGACAGTATTCTGCCTGACTTAATGTGACAAAATTGTTTCCAGGGAAAGGTCTTTTAAGAGGGCAAGGGGTAAGAGATGAGGAAGTTAGAAATGAGGTGGAAGAAAGAAGCAATCTGAGATTGCCAAGGTATGGAGAAGGAAGGTTTGTAGAAAGCATTTCTTGAGAATGGCAAGTGGGCTGGAGAGTAGAGGGCAGTGAGTTGTGAATTGGACAGTGGTTGGACAGGTCAGCATGGTTAGTGGTTTGGCCAGTGGCAGATTTCTTTTGATAGAAGAGAACAGGAGTGAAAATATTTTCATGTTAGTTTTAGAATCTGCTGTTTAAACACAAGAATTCAACTGATGAAGAGGAAACATAGATGAGCACACTGCTGCTGCCTCTTTGCCATTGTTGCTTGTATAAATACAATTATAAAAAAATCTGTAGTACAGGAGATTTAATAGCAAAGAGAAATTGTAGCTGAAGTAGCTTCTCCTAGCATAGAACTCTACATAATGATATTCTTTATTTAGTAATGTTTCTGTTACCCTTGGAGAGGCTGTAATTGCTATTCAGGGTTATTTTGCTCCCCAGAATGTGGTAATTAATGTAATTATAAAAAAGAAGTTGCTAAGAACAGTTGTAGTATAAGGCCAGGATGAGAACAAAACAAGGCTGATAGTGTTTCACTTTGTTTGCTTGTTCTTCCTGATTAAATGCTTCTGCACGCGGGCTTTAATTTAATTTATCAGCAGTGACATGTACCAGTGGTCTTGCCAGCAAGCAGAGAACAGTATATTTTTATTTCTTTCTTTTCTTTGATTCTTCCTGGAGCATACCAAAACTGAAAATCTCATTTATTGGAAGTATTCTGTTAACCCTTATCCTGGTATTTGGCCACTCCCTCTACAGTTTCTCCTGAGGGCAACTAATTAATAACAAATTAAGTTAATCTGCCTTGGTCCATTAGGTCATTTCCTCATTATTGTACATTTATTGTTTTTTCATTGATAGCTGAACTCATTTCACATGACTGACAGATTGATTCATTAAAGGTAAACTTGTGAGGTTTGGTTAGGGAGAGCCTGGGAAGTGCTTGTATTTGTTCAAGTGTTCCTGCAGGTCGTTAAACCTATTTTCTTATTATATAAGTGGCTTCCCCTGTTCAGCACCTTGCATGCAAGCTCACCTCAGAACACACAGCTGCCTGTCACCCTCTTTGGCAGGAAGCAGGCAGCAAACATCTCTCCTTACCTCACAAACAGCTCTGGCTGATCTAACTGAAACCATAAGCTACCTGCAATACAACAGGATTCTTCCAATGTGGTCTCAATTCCTTCAGAAATAGGGAAGTGGTGAGTAAATCTCCCTTATTTCCCCCTGCATTAAAGGAGAAGGGATTATATGCATGTGTGGTTGAAACAGAATTTGAATTCAACCTTTGTGTGGTTTGTCACCAGAACAAAGGAAGCAACTCAAATGGAACATTTGTTTACTGAGCACTTTCTGTAATTAATTGTCTCAAGCACTGCCAAGTCCCTACTAGCTCTTCATGAGTGCCTGAACGTGTGAGAATATATTTGTAAACCAACTCCAGGCTGCAGGTCTCCTGGACAGGGTACCCAAGGAGGCTTTCAGGCTTCTGGATATTCCAGACTACCTAAGGGAGCTTCATGACAGTGGCACATGACTGATGCCAAAAATGGTGGCAAGCATCAGCCCTTTATTAATTAGTTCCCAGTACAACTTTTTGTACGTTTTTTCTCACATGCATAACACCTGTGTGCCCTTTTACTTTTCTCTTGTGGTTGGTCAGTACACATCAGCATTCCAGGCTTCTTCTCCTTCAGTGCTGGTCACCTGCCTTACACATCTGCACCCCATTAAGGATGAGGCTTGGCCCCATTCCTATTCTCCTACAATCTATTCCTATTCTCTCATAGTTTCTGCATGAAGAGTGATACCTAATAGATGTAAAATCTGAATTTTCATTAGCTATGGCTTGAGGTGTGAATTTTTGGCCAAATTCATCTAGGACTTTGGAACAGTCAAGGTAAAATGTATGAAAGAGTAACTCCTGAGGGCTCAGTGAAATATTTATTAATGAAATTTTGCTGAGCACGTCCAGTTCCATTCCCAGTTGCTAGTTTGCCACTGGTCCATGTGGATTACTGTCATGTCTCCAGTTACACTGTGCTGTTTTTCTCAGTATTTGATGTGACTGGTGTCTAGCAAGAAGCCAGGTGTGTTGTGAAGCAGTATCTAGATAGGATCAGAAGACAATGACTGCTTTTACTTTCTTGGCCTGCCTCTCCAGCTGTGCCTGCTATTCATGTGGTAGCACAGCTATGGAAAACCTGGCTTTTGGTTCTGAGTAAGAGTCCT